TTCTTTAGATACACTGATATACCTAAAAGCAAATCAAAACAAAAGACCTATTGCGTTTGATCTTTCTGTCGCAAGCTTAAGACTCTTACGCAACCGGCAAACTTTGCGACTATATTTTCAAAACCGGCCTAATATCGTGCTGCATGGAAATAAAAAATACAATAAATTTCTCAAGACAGCTGCCACTAAGCATGCTGGGTCCGCAAAAGTCCTTAAACACCATGTGATTAATTACACAATGGTGCACGTAAGCCAATCACATTTGCCAACGAGCAGGCATCGGCGGCAATTTCTCATTGGTTTTAACTCTGGCATGTATTTCTCTCCTTTCATATTGATCCATCGCCATGAAAGAGCTTGCCAATGTCTACTAATCCCCTCATACTTTCTCTTGAAGCGCTATGTTCAAATGTTGCAGCCATCCCACAATGCAGTGCAAACTGTCTTTGTTTGATGTCGAGACAGTAGACGTAAAATGACCCTTTGGTCTTGTGCTCTGTATTTTTTTTGGAATATACCTTCATCATGTTTGCAGGAGGTATTGTCGGACACAGCTGATACTATGCCCATTGTTAAATCTCACAGACAGAGCAACCTTCTTCGAGAACACTGGCCACTGCAGTAGCCTTAAAGGTTCATTACCCAAATTATGGGCTTTACCCACATTAAGGACTTCTAGCACAGTCCCATATCTACTGCCTAGGAGGATAACCAATACTATCCTGCACGGTACTCTGAAATGGGCCTAAGGCTAGAGAATATGGTAAAATTCTAGGGTTTATCGTCCTGACAGTTTCATTACCCAAATTAAAGGCTTTACCCACTTTAACCACAGCTAGCAGAATCCCACATTCACTACCTAGGAAGGTCACCAATACTATCCTACGTGATACCTGAGAACGGGCCTAAGGCTAGAGAATATGGTAATGTTCTAGGGTTTGTGGTCCTGACAGGTTCGTTACCCAAACTATAGGCTTTACCCATATTCAGCATAACTAGCACAGTCCTGCATCCTCTATCTAGGAGGGTCACCAATACTATCCTACGCGATACTTAGAATGGACCAAACAACTAAAGCATAAGGAAATATCTTTAGGCCTGTATATGCATCTTTGTTCAAATACTCACTATTCCATGTTCTCTTAACAACCTATTTTGAAGTCCATCAACACTATTATTGCGATGAAATGTCCATATAATTACAAGGTTCAGTGCAACAACAAATTGTGTCATTCAAACATAAGTTTCACTGCCTCTTTTTGATTTCGAGGTGGTATCATAGTCTTGAAGAAAAACAGCGGGAACGACATGTTATTTCAAAATTTGCGCCATTCTTCTTCTTTCCCATGGCCTCACTAGACGTATATACAGTTTACCAAATCAATTCTCATACAGCACAAAATTACATTACTAGCACCATTTTTGCAACCAATGCGACAACTTTGGCGCTAAACATCAGTTGCGTTCCCTCGGTGTTGCCGCTTTCCAATTCCATTGGGCATGTGATAAGTGGCCTGTACGCTTGAATAATAAGGCGTGCCGTTCTCATCGCGCGGCGCCATAAATGTACCGCGATACTTCTTTCTGAACCTATGTATAAGGAAAGCCATAACTAGAATTATGACCAACGCGCCTATTACAAGTCCAGCGGTGATCCACGCGACGCTACTCTTTTCCAGCTTTTTCTTCTCCCTCTTCCCGGAATGCGGTGTCTGTTGCTAAAAGAAAAGAAACGATAAAATGTCATTCTGTAGCATTATGTTCAACGGTAAATAAATACTTTCATATAAAAATTTATAAAAACGTTGCTATGATATTTAACTCTATTTGTGGTTAGGATGTGCCTCCCACCGTAGAAGTCCTATTTGTTCCGTTTAATCCTATACGAGTAGTGGCAGGGCTTGCTTCTATTTCTGATTGGTTCATGAAACTTAAAACCCTACACATACAACGCTAGACAAGTAGGATTAGAAAGAATTCATCTTACGATAGTTGATGCTTCTGGGATGACGTCACGAAGCTTGTCCAGTATAGTAGGTTTTGCTTGCTTGGACTTGGTTGCTTTGTCATGCGGGGCCTTCGATTTTGGAACGGTTATTACATCTTCAAGATAAAAAAACATAAAACTGTTAGCAACAGTTATCAATTACCAGATATTCTTAAGAACTACGAAATGATCGTATTGATCAATTCAGCAATGAACTAAAAATTTTTAAGCTTATCAAATAATTACGGTTCCTGACATAATTATCCAAAGAAAATGCTCAGGAGATGCCCTCTTTCTGCGAAAACTTTAAACTTCTTTGCACTAAACTTTTGTCTTCATATTCGGGAAAAGGGTCGAAATTTTAGTCTGAAAGAAGTTCAATGTTGTAGTGCTTGCAACATGATTTAATCATAACAAAAAGTTTTACAAGGAACTTTTCCGTGATTTGCGTCAGAGAGTGAGATAATACATCCGGACCGATTTTAGGGGTCAAATTTGTATATGGTTGCAAACTTGATATCGTTATAAAACCTGACATCAGGAACTGTATGGAAACTGCATCCGGACCGATCCGAATACATATAAACAGATCCGAAAATGAGGTAAAAAGGGATATAAATGAAGCTTAGAGCAATATCCTATTGGTGAATTTTATGAACGATTCAATAACATAATTTGATGATAATCTTGAAAAATTAAGCATGATAAACAAAGTTATCACACCTTTGATTGGTCTTGGCTTTATGCTACACCCTCTTATCACTTTGCCATCGATTTCGGTGTTCAGTCTCTGTCTCTCACCAGTTTGTTCCAAAATATCTGCAGCTTGTAACGTGCCCCTTATAACATCAACCTGCAATGAACATAGTATCTTTTATCTGTTTATATCAATATTATGACCACGTGTCAACGGAACCATTAGATTGGTAAATTGATATCACGTGATTAGAGGGCATGTTATGTTTACA